CATCGTCTAATGAATCTGCTATGTCCTGACAAAAAGCAATTGTTTGGCTGTCGCACGAATACCCAGGATTGATTCGGTACATGCGGTGGTATCACCTCCAATTACAGAACATATAATTCCCCTGGCTCGAATGTTGCAGTTTAATGAGCTGATCGTGATTAAAAGTGTCGAGAGTGAGATGATAATATGTGTTGCATGACCGAGAATTGTGAGAAGTGCATGGTTTTAGTTTCGTTGTCGAACATTTAAATATATTTTGTTTGTTTGATTGTTTAGTGATTGCGCGCAGGTCAACTATTCCGGACAGGTTCATTAGTGCCGTAGGTGTTGTCCATGTTTTTGCTGGGAAGGTGGCGGTGATCTTTGCTCCGCTGTACGGCCAGATCCAGCGCCGATCTACCGTCGGCTAGCGAGGTTTCCTCAACCAGTTATCTCCCACCAATCGGGACAAGTTCTAAGCTCCCGACCGGTCTGCCGTCGTATGTAGTGCATGTTAGTGTAAGTGTGTGTGTGCAAGGGGTGAGGATAGGACAAGAATGGAATGTGAGATCGCGCGCGGTCCATGGCCCGTTTGTTAGGGTACTGCTCCGGCATTCGCTTGGTGATCGGAGAAACCACTGAAAACTGCCGACCAGAGCAGCCGGCCGCTAGAATTGTCCTCCAGGCAGCGACTGAATTCTGTCTATCTGACAAGCTAATGTCAAAAATCCTGACACCTTCGGTACTCGAACCAAAACCAGTTAGAGGAACTGCAGTGTCATCAGTTGATGCCATGAGCCATCTCTCCCGGTAAATATATTTTGTGTAAGCTACAATTTCACATTTCTGTTCCTGATAAGTGTAATTTATTGAAACCCTAAATTATGTTTTAGTAATAATCTGTAATGTTGAAGATAGTTATCCTTAATTTAAGTCCAAACTTTACGCTAAGAACCGTATGCGCATCAGTTTGTGGGTGGACGACATACACTGTAAGCAGCTTTCAGCGTTTTCGTTCTCGGTTCGAATTTCTTGACCAGTTGAGACCACCACTCCGAATAAAACTTCGGAGCAGGCACTAATAAAATACAGGGCAATCCATTTTACGTGGTCGAGCACAGGTCGCTTGACGATCTCAGGAAAAGAATCATACGTATAAATATCCTTACAGTTTTATATGACAGTGGTATCCTCCATTATTAAAGAAAGCAAGTATTTTTTTAAAACTAATTATTTTTGTCAGCCAAAATTTACAAAAAGGACCTTTTACTACACAGACGTGCCCAAGTTGTCAAAATTCTTCATTAAATTATTGCAATAAACAGAAAGATTCCGGAAAACAAGCAGCCAAATTATAAGAACACACAAACAACTGTGATAGAAAATCCTGCTTGCAAAGTATATTGGGGCAGAACCATAATTACAGACAAGACGACAAGACCTCATCACAACAGGTCAGACATTACTATAATTAACAAAATCATCGAAAACATTTACTTAATAGATATCGCAATCCCAAACACAAATCCTTCAGTCCTCCCGCACAGAAAAAGTTTTCAAGTAGAGTGATATCGCAATAAAAATAAAGGAACATTGGAAAATGGAAAACGTTTATACGATACCTATCATTGTGTCCGCAACTGGTGTCATCCCAATAACTTTGCACAACAGTCTACAACAGTGAAAATTGCGATGACATTGTACATGGAATTACAGAAACTTGCCATCCGTAACACATGCGCTATAGTCAGAAAGATCCTCAAAAATATTATTACTCATGCCTTCTACATATAATCCTACCTCGACACCAAAAACAACACTTGTTAACACTTCACACATTTTATCCAGAGACATACTACATACTTATTATTATTATTATTATTATTATTATTATTATTATTAAGTCGAGTGAAGTGGGTTAGTGCGTAGGGCACTGACTTCGCAGCAGGGAGGTCCGGGTACGATCCCCTGGCCAGCCATCCTAACTGGGGTTTTCGTGATTTCCTTCGGTCATACAGGCGAACGCTGGGATGGTTCAAAACGGCCACGATCATCCCTCATCATCATCATTATCATTATCATATTACCTCATAATTCAAAACTTAACAACCTTGTCTAACCGAGCGATACACCCGAAAGCTGATCTTCATAATGACACACATTAATTTCTCTCCGTGATTGAATATGACTGGGGCTCGGAAGAGAACGTGTATTGAAGTCAGAAAAGAATGTTTCCAAATAATAATAATAATAATAATAATAATAATAATAATAATAATAATAATAATAATAATAAT